AGCTTCCTGGCCAGGGATTGAACTTGGGCTGCAATGGCTGCAAATAGCTTCACAGATTGCATCCTAACCCTTGCACTACCAGGGAGGTCCTAAACATAGGTTTTTAATCATAAAGCTTTCTTTTGTTTTCAATTTTAACTTCTTCATAACTACTATTTTTGTTTTTATTAGATCTAATTTTGAGTAGTAATTCATTCAACATTTCCTGAACACTCAATATATGCTATATAGTCTGAGGGTAATGAAAAGAACATGAGATTTATATTAAAACTTGGACTGGAATTTGAATCTGCTTTGTCAACTTGGGCAAATTCTGTAATCTCTCTATTCATAGTGCCTGGCACATGGCAAGCAGTCAGTGAGGTTAATAATACAAGTTGTTCCTCTCCTCCAGCCCAGTGACATCCTACCCCTTTTTTAAGAGTAACTAAGGGTATATACATTTTTCTTGAAGAAAGACATGTAACATTATTATAATACTTTGTGATAAATTGTAGTAAGAGATATATGAGCAGTACTGGGCTTTGGGAGACCAAAAGGAGTCACTGTTGCTTCTTGGGGGAAATCAGGGAAAGTAGATGGACCAGATACACTGAGTGTACATAAGTTCCTTGAGGGCAGGAAGTAGCATTTTGTATTCCTATAATGTCTTGCACATTGGAAGTGCTCAAGAAATGTTTATGGAACTGTGTAAGCCATTTAACTTTTGTATCTTTAGTGTGTGACTTTCTTGGAGAGAAGATTGCATCTGTTTTGGGCATCAGCACCCCAAAATACCAGTATGCCATTGATGAGTATTACCGGATGAAGAAGGAGGTGTGTCTCCTTTTTATATTTTCATGAATCCGTTTGGTTTATAACCTCATGCATTGCATAATGAATACACAGGATTCTTCTAGCTGCCTAAATTAACGCCCTTACGCTAAACATTTTATTCTAGTCATTTATGTATCAAATTAGCACACCTTTTAGAATTTTTAATACAAAATTGCCTTAGGGTCTATGTGTAAAAGTAAGATTTCATTTGTATTAAGTGCTTTGAGTTCCCATATACATTATTTAATCTTCACAAACCTCTCTTTGGATTGTAATTCCAATTTTAAGATAAAGAACTAGTCTCTGTACTTAGGACAGAGACTGGATGTAGGAGAATTAGAGTAGATGTGATGCACAGAAAATTATTAGAAATGTGTAAGTGCCAGTGTTAAAGCACAAAATGCTGTTTGCAGATGTGTTGTACTTAGATCTTAGGGTGGAGCTGAAATGAGTTTAGCCTTAAAGAGTGAGAATGCTTTAGTGCTTAAGATCCAAGGGTTTGAAACTATATTCTAGTTCTAGAGCTTTAACTTTATCACCAGGGGCAATATATATAACATCTATAAACCTCAATTTCCTATTATAATCAGAAGAATAGCAGCATGTATGCTTAGGGTTGTTCTAAGTGTTAAATGAGTTAATAGATAAAATTCTTACTACAGCTCTTTGTATTACTGAGTGTGAAAATAAATGTTAGAATCTTTTATTATTCTTCAAGAAAATGAAGTGGGCAAATCAGGTAAAGCTAGAATATATAGACCTAATGATATGTTGCATTTTTTGAGAAATGGCAAGACTAATACTTTGTCACTGGGAACAGAGTACAGTGGGGGAAAATGGCTGAAGATGAATCTGGAACTGTCAGTGGTTGATGTGGTTTAAAAATTATTTTATGAACAAATGAGTGTTTTTTTAAAACTACCAGCCTTATTTAGAAGAGCCTTATTACCTCATCTTACCTATTTGTAAAAGTCTCCTAAATGGTCTCTCTCTCTTGTTTTGTCAAACACTAGATTAATCTTCCTGACAGGTTAGTCTCTCTGTACTGACTATACATACAGCAGGGACCAACACAAATACTACCTCGTCTCTGAATTTAATTGTTCTAGAGGTTATTAATTCTTTCTTACTCTCTATGGTGCTTAATCCTTTCTTTATTAATACTGTTTTTACATGTCTTAATTTCCCTCCTGGATTGTAAACTTCTTGAGAACAGCTTAATTGTATAGTAGGTGATTATGAGAACATTAATTATGCTTACCATTTAGTTTATAGGCCACATTGAGATGATATAATACAGTTTGCTAGTTTTTATTTAGGTTAGAATTAAACTGAAAAGAAATAGCCCCTGTCAGAGTTAATTCATTCTCATCTTTGCTTAGCAGTGCTGCATCGTGTTTTAAAAAATCTTTGCTTTTTCTTAACATGAATATAGAAGTTTTCATTCCAACTTGGGAACAGGAGAAAGGGAGACATGTCTTGGCTTTAATTAGACCAAACTAAATTGGACATGACACTCTTTCGGTTTATAAAAAGGCACAGCTAAAAGGGGGGGACAAATACTATTCCTTTTGGACATTTATATTTCACCTATCTTTGATATTTCCTATCTTAAGGAAGAAGAAGAAGAAGAAGAAAACAGGATGTCTGAAGAAGCAGAAAGACAGTACCAGCAGAATAAGCTGCAAGCTGATTCCATTATTCAAACAGATCAGCCAGAAACCATGGTATCCAGTTCATTTGTGAATCTCAATTTTGAAATGGAGGGAGACTGTGAAGTAATTATGGAAAGCAAACAAAATCCAGTCTCTGTCCCACCATAAAATGAAATGACTACCAAACTTTTAACTTTATTGTTTTTATACCACGAACTTTCACATTCTGTAGTCAGTGGGATTTAATACAGTTATTTATATTTTAAATTATTATCTGGAAAGGGAAAAATGTTTATTTGTAAACTCTTATATAGCAAAAGCCAGATCTGAAATTTGGGTATTTGTACTGTGCTTTTACTGTATGTCAAATTAATGCTTTGTTTTCAAAATGATCTTTAAAAAAAGTTAAGAACTTTGTAGAGTCCTAAGCACCAATTAAGAAGAGTTAGATTACCAAGCTTGTCTGTTACTTGTATAAAAGAAAAAAAGTTGCTGATTATGGCTAATTGGAGTTTATATTTGTCTCAAATCAAAATGAGGATTCCCCCTTGCCAGGTTTTCTCTTGTCTTACACATTTGTATATCTAACCATTAATTTCATACTAAGGATGGCTTACTGTGTGTGCAATAAAAGCAACATAAAAGCACTTTGAATTTTCTTTCCTTGAGATTAACATAATTTTTTGGAAAGGTGGTTAAGTTTATAGCACCAAATATTAAGATGGGTTTTAATTTTTTTATGCAGTTTAATCTTACATTCTTTTTCTGTTATTTAAATAACTAGCTATGAGTGTTAAAAACACTAGATGTGGAATGGTTTTAGTAATGTATTTGTATTCAAGTGGGAACACCTAATAATTATTCACATGACTTTGTCACTCATTCAGTCCCTTATGTCTCCTGTGGGCCAAGTAGTTGCAGAGAGCGGGGTGAGACTAGGAGACAGATGAAAACTTACCCTTTAGAGGCTTAAATATTGTTCAGTGGTAGCATAATGAAACTACCTCTTTCACCACTTTGAAGTAATAGTGAACAGTTTATCTGACCCAGGTTGGCTTATTTTTATCTGACCCCTCTACCTATTGTGCTGTTTGCAAAGCCTTACAAAAGTATAATGTAAGAAACTAAAAGTACTCCTAATTTTTTTTTTTTTTTTTAGAATCTTGAGGTATCTATATATGTTGATTTATAACTAAACATGGGTAAGGAAGATTATATGAAGTATTTCATAAATGTTGCTCTTAAAGCCTCTTCATAAACTTAAAGAGCTTTTATAGGTTGATTGTAAGTAAGCATCTACTTAGCACTAAGTTCTCAATTAGCACTAAGTTCTCAATCTTAAATATATGTATATGTAAAATACGGCTTCAAAGAAACTCAACATAGATACAAGATGGCCTGTTACGGAAATGTATTATGAATAGAATATGAATATCTAGCCCCTAAGTTCAACTGAAATTGGAAGGATTTAGGAAAGACTCATTAGGAATCCTGAATTACGTGGATTCATAATATAGTAGTTTATTTTAGTCCTATGTATGAATTATCACTTAGGATTAATCCAGATTATGTAATTATTATTATAAAATTAGTTTACCAGTAACTCTACAACATACTAACCTGCCATCTTTCCTCTAATTTGCTTTTAATTTCAAGATAGTACCTCCAACTTACTTGGTTATCCAGTGAAGGCATGCATATCTAAAAGTGATCTGAATCCTCTCTCCCTGGATTGATTTTGAAACTTTTCTAATTGTAGTAAAAGATAGGCAACAACTTAGGAAAGTTTTGTTTCTTGAATTTTACATTCTCTTATTGTCCAACAGTGGTCAGTTTAATGTTCATATATTAAGTTATTCACTGTGCCTTAAATTTTTATACTTTATGCAAGCTCTAAAATTTCCCACAAATGCATTAAATAATTTTGTCTTATTTTTAAGCCTCTTTTATTTTTTCTTCCTTTTCAAACTTCAAGCCCTTTTAATAAAAATTTTTTTAAAGATTTATTTTATTAATTTATGCATACAAGAGCTGGATGTAGGCCAGAGATGTGGGGGGTGGGGGGGAAGAGGATGTGTGTGAGAGGATTCACCAGAGACAGAGTGTGGAGCAGAACAGGCAGGTCTACTGAAATACACTGCTGAGGGGAGCAGCGTGTGAGACGAGAGAGGTCTGCTATGCCATGTGGGTTAGCTCCCTGGCTGGGACTTGAACTTGTGCAGCATTGGCTGCTAATAGCTTCATAGTGCTGAGACTTAACCCCTTGCGCCACCAGGGAGGCCCCTTTTTAATAATTATTCCCTCTGGCTCATAGTAAATGATATTCTGTCCTCTTCTAATCTTTCATCTCATAAAAACTAAATGTAATAATATAAATGGGAATCGACGTGAAATTAACAAATTCTCTAATATATTCTTAACAAAATGAAGTTAACAGTTTGCAAAATGTGGTCTTGGCACTAGTTAATAAAGCTAGACAAACTTGATTAAAATACAATGATTTTAATTAAAGTAAAATATTAACTTGCATAACTTTCTATTAAATATGTCCAAACATTTTTAAACCAGAAATGAAATGGCTATACTCTAATGAATGGGTAAGTCGATAATCTTTGATATACATAATACTTTAGAAAATTATGATCACAAACACAGTATTAAGTTACACTATCCTTCAAATACATTCTTAATGACTAATATTAGAAATACTCCATGAAAACTTCTTATGTGTGTGTAGACACTGTTTCTGTTTTTTTTTTTTTGTGGGAACCTCGCCAGTGGCCGGGGATCGAGCTGGCACTGCAGAGGCTGCAGGCAGCCTCGCAACCCAGCGCTCAACCACTGCGCCACCAGGGGAGGCCCCATAAAGACACTGTTTTAAAGTATATTTCTTCTTGATTCTTCAGCAATCACACTTGCCATATTTGAGCTAAGTGGAAGTAAAGCCAGAATTTATTTTTTTATTTTATTTAAAAAAAAAAAAAGATTTATTTATTTATTTACACAAGAACCGGGGTACAGGACAGATGCACGGGAGGGTGAGAGGATTCCCAGAGACAAAGCGGGGAACAGAACAGGCAGGCTGATGAAATACACTGCTGAGGGGAGCAGCGAGCATGACAGGAGAGGTCTGCCTCTGCATGTGGGATTCTTGCCGGCCAGGATTGAACCCGCGCTGCAGAGGCTGCGGACAGCTTCACAGTGCGGTGCTCAACCACCTGTGCCACCAGGGGAGGCCCTGAAACCAGAATTTAGTACTTCCTAAAACATACATAGTCTTGTTATTTCCAGATGATTAAAAAATCACCAGAACATTCCAACAACCAGAAATTTGCTGTGTTCTATAGAGGTAAGAAGTATTTTATTTAGACGATTTCTAAGGATTCTGCTGCAAAGGTTTTGAATGCAACATTCAAGCTGATCTTAATAGTCTAGTCTTCTAGAGATCAAGTATCATCAAGGTCTACTGAGTTTTCAGTGTCATTTGCAACAAGGGCTTCTCTATTCTCATAAGTCCAGAAGCCATTGAGATCAATTAGAATGGTGGTGACTGTATCTCCTTGATTACTATTAATTAAATCCTGAAGAGAGATTTTTAAAGGATCCTTAGGTTTCACCATGTCAAATATTTCATCCTGCAAGAGAAATAACATACTATGAAATGTAGTATCTAATACTTAATTTCTGTCACATAATGATCTAAAAATCAGGGCTTGCATTTGACTTTATTTAAAATTTGTTCTCATTTTTTCATTTAACAGATAATCTTCTTTTCTCTAAGTACAATACAGCATTTTATTGGAAGATTCCTTAGGTTTGTGGTAACTGTTACTCATAGAAGAATAAACTGAAACTCAGTGTGATCCAAGCTAGAAAGTAGTGGTAAAACACTATCAAATAATTAATCCAGTTTTAACCAAGTGTAAGATAAAGGGCTATTTTGGTTTAATATAAATGAAATATGTAACAGGCAACTTTAGATCTAGTAATTTTAAACTACTACCAACCTTTTATTATTTGCCTGAATTGTCTTCATCAGTTTATTTGAATATGTATCAAATACTTTTATTTTTCTGTTGTCTTCTAATTGGTGGTAAAACAAAGTCTTATGTGCAAACTCAGTTAACAGTAAAAACTTAAAGGCTTCAGAGCCAGGATATTAGCAAAGCTTCATTTCCAGGATTGATGTCAACCTTTTACTCTAGACATAGGATGGGTGGGTGAGTAGATGAAGGGGAATTCTGTATTAAAGAATTATGCCAAATGTCACTAAATTGTGCTAAAATTTACAGGAGTAGGTAGATGGAAGGACCACTTCCATATTATGAAGTGCACTGATGAATATTATAAGGAACATAATATCTGATTCCTAATACTTCTGTAGTATAATTACTCAAGAGTATTTAGAATTTAAAGAGGCAAATTATAATTTTTAAAGATTAGGACAATCCAGTAAGTGAATTGTATAAACTTTTAATCTTTTAGGTTTGTGAAACTTCCTTTTGTAGGTTGGTAGTAGTTTAAAATTACTAGATCTTATAGCCTGTTGTATAGTTTCATATTGTCTGATTTATATTAAACCAAAATCGCCCTTTATCTTTTACTTAGTTAAAACAGGATTGATTATTTGATTACATCAGTCAGCGTGAACTTGAATCAGTACTGGATACTAAATATTTTTCATAATTGTTGAAAAGTATGATCACCTCTCTAGAATAGGAACCTATTCTAGTTCTACTTTTCTATCAGACCACAAGCCTCATCATTTCAACCACTCTTATCAATATTCTTAATGTCCTTGAACTTGTTCCCCATCCAGTCAACAAAATCTAAATGCTACATCATTGTAACCATCAACCTTCCTAGACCTATAGCATAGCTTTTGAGAACTTTGGAAAAAAAGCATACAAGACTACATTGCTATTACATAGGGAATGGTCACCAACCCCAGATGGACCTTTAACATGACCTAGCAGTTATCGTGCTGTGATTAATGTTAAGTAGTAGCATGTGTTTCAATAGTGATAATTCTCATATTGTTGGACTTTAATAAAAATGTGCCTGAATATAACAGTTCACAAGGTAAAAATTTATTTTACAATACAGTGGAATAGACTTACAAATGATGAAGCTAATACTGGTTCTCTTTAGTTTTCATTCAAAATGAGGGAATGTCGACAATACTAAATCATAAACTACACAAAAAACTTTAGATCAAGTGTTGTCTTGCTGTCTAATTAAAAACAGTTCAGAACAAGTAACAGCAAATACTTGATTTGGCTCAGCACTTCATAGTTTGTAGGCTGATTTCATATAAAATTTCATTTAATACAAACGATTATCTGGTTTTTAAATTAAAGGAAAAAGTAACCTTGACATCTTGAAATGAAACAGGATCTTGTCCATGGATTTTCATTAGTTCCTGTATGGCCTGTATTTAGTAAAAATAAATCTGTAAATAAAAAATAAAATACACAATAGCTCCCCTTCTATCAACTGTCTAGAACAGGAACCTGTTTTAGTTCTACTTCCTTTCCAGACCACAAGCTTCATTGTTTCAACCGCTTTTATCAACATTCTTAACTTCCTTGAACTTGCTCCACATCCAGTCAACAAAATCTAAATGCTGCATCAGTGTAACCATCAACCTTCCTAGACCTATAGCATAGCTTGTGAGAACTTCAGGAAAAAATCATACCATACTGGGGCCTCCCTGGTGGCACAAGGGGTTAAGCACCTCACTATGAAGCAATGCAAAGCTTCTGCAGCACGAGTTCAATCCCCAGCCGGCCAGGGAGCAACCCACATGGTGCAGCAGACCTCTCCTGACTCGCCCACTGCTCCCCTCAGCAGTGTATTTCAGTCAGTCTGTGTTCTGTTCCCTGCTCTGTCTCTGGTAAATCCTCTTACCCCCCACCCCGGCGCCCCCGCATCTCTTGCCTATACCCCAGCTCTTGTATTCATAATAAATAAATCTTAAAAATCATACAATACTACAAATTATTGCTGTCACATAGGGAGTGGTCACCAACCTCAGATAGGTGTTTAATGTGACCTAGCAGTTATTCTGCTTTGAATAATTTGGAACCTCCCCTCCCACCCTATACTTTGCCTTTTACTTCACAGAAAAAAATGGAGGTAAGCTTCCATTAAACTATTTTATGAACCTTAACAAGAAAATAGTGACTAAAGAAACTACGGTAACCCAGATGGACTAATATTTTATGTGAGAGCCATTCACTGAAAATGTGAGGCTTAAAATTTTTGGTAAATAGTTAAGTATCTTCCAGGTACCTACTCTGTAGGTGTGACGTAGATAGCAGATTATGTGTGACATAGATAGCAGATTATGCAGATAGCAGATTATATGTGACGTAGATAGCAGATTGCATGTGACGCAGATGGCAGATTATGCACAGATTATGACTCTCGTTGAGGGAGATGAGAATCTTTGAGTACACAACTACTATAGAAGTAGTCCTGGATGTATGCTCTCTAGAATACACTGTCCAAGCCAGTTTTTTCACTGGGATATTAATGTACGAAAGCTTGACGAGCAGTCTAGGATTGCAGCCTTCAGCATCAGTAATTTACTTTAGCTCATACAACCAAGCCTAAATAGACTTGGATGATTTCATTAAATTTTCTATGTGTTATATAAATAAAATTCCAAGAGTAGAGGTTATTATAAGAAATCTTTATGGGAAAAGGTTGGGTTTTTAAAGATGTATTTACTTTGCTTCCCCCATAACTGAATCTTCATTTTACAGGTCTGCCCCATATCAGGCACATCCTTATGATTGGTTGGTATTACCTAAATAATTAGATAAATGTAAACACTGCAACAGTGTAACTATCAACAGTTCTAGACCTCTACAGTATAGCCACTGACTTAAGGTATATGTAGCATTCAATTTTTACAAAATGCACCTAATACTGGATTGTAGTTTATTCTAATAATTGCAGTCTTTACTACCTAGAAAATCACAATGGAAAACCTGTTAAGGAATTTATCAAGAAATTATAAAATATACACTATGAAACTCAGAAACCAGATAAAGTTATTTTAAAAGTACCAAAGATTTTTAAGTGGAAAAGATAAGGCCTCTGAGAAAAAGTAGTTTATGACAAAAATGTGAAAATTATACCAAAAAGATATATATGGTTAATCTTAACCATATAAAAGTCATAGGGTCTTTTAAAAACTAGCTATAGAATTATAGTAATGGAATACTACTATACAAAACTATTCCATCAAGTAGAAAAGTCACCATTCAGATTAAGGATTTGTCTTATAAAAGCGGACAGTCCTACTTTTATACCTTTTACATCTGAATGCTTATCAAGATATCAAATTCCGCATTACAGCTTATCAAATTATTCTGAGACTAAGGCACAACTACATTGAAATGCAGCACACAGTTCTAGTCAATTTTACAATTATTATTTTACAGTATAGCAATTATATAGAATCTACAAATACTTACGGAAAGTAGCTATCTTTTTTTGAGCTGTTTAATTAATGCTTTAATAGGATTTCACACTAAGAGCACAGAATTTCTCATGCATATTCATATTTCCAATGGCTAGTATATAGCCCTTGGCATATTTATACACTTTTTTAGTATCTTCCATCTACTGAACTTTGATTTATTAGCTCATTTATATTTTTAAAAATAGAAAAAGAAAAAAATAGATTTCCTTCTATAATCTGTTATAGATATAGTTTTGTTAAATACTACAAGTTAGATAACATTGTCAGTGAGTACATAATTTAAAGCAAGTGATAGAAAAAAAGAGAAAAGAAATAAACCAAAAAGTATTACTTATATTAAGGTACAATTACTCATTATACAAGTGAGACTTACCCTAAAAAAATAATTAAGGGAAAAGACATTCAGATATCCTTTGTTCTCAATATCAAGCAATTTGAAAATATACTGCAGAGCTGCAGGTTCTTTTCGGTTTTCTAATGCAAGAACAAAGTCCAGGTAAGTCTTATAATCCTATGGAAAAGGAAATGATATTCATGAGAAGTTGAATTCACTTTTTTTTTTTAAGATTTATTTATACATACAAGAACTGGGGTACAGACCAGAGGTGTGGGGGAATGGGGGTGTGAGAGGATTTGCCAGAGACAGAGTGGGAAGCAGAACAGGGGGATTGGCTAAAGTACACTGCTGAGGGGAGCAGCCGGCAAGACAGGAGAAGTCTGCTGCACCATGTGGGTTAGTTCCCTGGCCTGAGATGGAACTTAAGCTGCAGTGGCTGCAGATAGCTTCATAGTGCTGTGTCTTAATCCCTTGTGCCACTGGGGAGGTCCCCTGAATTCACTTTTCAAATGAGTTACCTGATTTGAAGCTATTTTACAATTAAAGGTAGCATTTTTTTTAAATATGGAAGATAAATCCATTTTTGTATATTTAAATTTGGTTTCTAGAATTCTACAAGCAGTTACTCTGTACAGAGAATCTGGGAACACAGCTAGTTTTCTTATGAGATTTGCTGTGGTAAAACATAATTTTCTTTCACTATGCTTTTGAAATGGACAATGAATAAGCCACTGTACACTGCAGCTAGCGATCTTCATTTCAGTGTGATCATTTAGGGAAAAAAACACCATAACAAACTTATCTGGAATGAACAGGACATTATAATTAAAATAGCTGTTTTGAAATACTGTAAAATTTAAAAATCAGATGATTTCCAATAAGAAGTCATTTTAAAATACCAGATATTCTACAGTGAATTGATACTGCTCTGATTAAAAAAAAAAAAAAGCAGAACAAACAGGCTAAAAAGACAGGGAGAACAGAAAGCCTTCTCTACAAAAAAGGAAAACTCATGTTACTTTTCACCTAGTGAAAAGTAGTAGAATACTTAGGTGATTCTTACTTAAAAATTGTTTTACATTGCAAAAGATTTTTTTAGGCTAAGATTAAGAATTCCTTTCTGCAGAAATTGCAATATAAAGACCAAAGAGATGCAGCTTCATTTTGGTCCAACTTCATCCATGCTGTACCCTCTGATTTTCTTAATTCACCAAAATTGTTAATATACTGTAAGTTCCTCATGATCAACTTCAGACAACTGTGAGAGTCATAATGCAGAGATTCTGCACCTGTCTGCCCCTCCCCATCTTTTCCTTTGCAACTGGCTTACAGTGGTGTTATGAAAACTCTTATTGGAGCTAAATAATAAAACCTAAAGCCCAATTCTCTTCTAACAATATAAGCATTATTGCTTTGGAAAATTTCTCAGATCCTAAACATGCTTTTAATAGCAAGACTAGTAATTTAAAAGTGCCATGAAGAATACTTAACATTGTTAAAATAAAAGGACAAAAGCATGTTAGTTAATCTTTAGCTACTAATATAGTTACTTAAAGAAATACAACCCGATTCTTAGATTTAGATCAGGACATATGTGATACTATGGTGGACTTGGAAATTTAATGAATGAACTATTTATATGAAAACAGTCAAAATGATTAGCCAGTTTTTCAAACTTTCTTTACAAGTCTACCCTTCTCTACAAAAGGTACAATGCCAATGAAATGGACAAAACATTAAAATTTTCTAATGCCTTGGTTCTATAAGGGAAATAATGTTTTTAAGCAAATTTACTTTGGGATCAAAGAATCTGAAACCTAAATTAATTATACCAGTTCATACTTTGTAAGATACTATTACACACTGATATAAAAATGATGCTGTATCAAAACCCACACTTAGACAGTAAATCTAGCAATTGACAGGAGCCAAGAGTATACACTGGGGAAAGGAAAGTCTTTTCAACAAATGGTGAGAAAACTGGACAGCCACATGCAAAAAAAAAAAAAAAAAAAAAAAAAAAGTAGAAACTAGACTACTAATTATCTCTCATGCATATACATAAATTAACTCAAAATGGATTAATGACCGCCATAAAGTACATAGAAAAAAACAGACAAAACACTCCATGACACTGGCTTCACAGATGTCTTTGGGCACTCATAGCAAGGGAAACAGAAAAAAATAAAAGGGACCACACTGAACTACAATGCTTCTACACAGCAAAAGAAACTGTCATTAAAATGAAGACAACCGGTCCTCCCCTGGTGGCGCAGGTGGTTGAGTGCCGCGCTGTGAAGCTGTCTGCAGCCTCTGCGGCACCGGTTAGATCCCGGCCTGCCAGCAAGGGTCCCACATGGCGCAGCAGACCTCTCCTGTCTCGACTGCTGCTCCCCTCAGCAGTGTATTTCATCAATCTGTCCTGTTCCCCACTCTGTCTCTGGTGAGTCCTCTCACCCTCCCATGCATCTGGCCTGTACCCTGGTTCATGTATAAATAAATAAATAAATCTTAAAAAATAAAAAAATAAAAAAAACGAAGACACCCTACTGAATGGGAGAAAATATTACACACCACACATCTGCAAAGTGGCTAATATCCAAGATCTATAAAAAAACTCACCGAACCCAAAAAAAAGAAAACAAAGAATCCAATCAAAAAATGGGCAAAAGAGATACACTTCTCCAAAGAAGAGAAACAGATGGCCAACAGGCATATGAAAAATGTTTAATCTCACTTACCAAGGAAATGTAAGTCAAAACACGAGATACCACCTCACTCTAGTGAGGATGGCTCAACAACAAATGCTGATGAGGGTATGAAAAAATAAAAGGAGCCCTCATATACTGTTGGTGGGAATGTAAACTGGTCCAAACTATGGAAAGCAGTATGAAGGTTTATCCCAACAATAAAAATGGATCTACCATACAATCCAGCAATTCCACTTGCGAGGTATCTACTTTAAATACACAAAAGCATTTAATTTCCAGGGATATGTACACCCCTATATTTACTGCAGCACTATTTACAATACCCAAGTTAGGGAAACAGCTTAAGAGCCCAATGACAGATTAGTGGCTAAAGATGTGATATAACACACACACACACACACACAGAGGAATGCTGCACAGCTATAAAGAAGGATGAACTCTTGCCATTTGGGTTGACATGAATGGGAATGGAAAGGATTATGCTAAGTGAAATAAATCAGAAGGAGAAAGACAAATGGATGACTTCATATGGAAAAAAATACAAAGGAACAGAATAAATAAATAAACAAACATAAAATCTGACTGTAGTATTGACCAACCAGAGGAAGATGGGGAGGGTAGAGAGCAAAAGAGGGTGAGGGGGTCAAAGGATGGTGGTGGAGGACTATGAGTGCGTTGGTGGTGGGTGTGAAGTGATAACATACATCTGAAGAAGTGTGAACCTATACCTCTGAATCATATACAGTGCTGAAAACTAATGTACTTCAATAAAAAATAATGTTCTATCAAGTCAAGAAGGGGACTGTGGAGGTTTGGGGAGCTTGAATTTTAAAAACTCTAATTAGAGTTTTTACCATTTCTCCATCATAAGTGAGACACTCCTGGAAAACTCGGTCTAGGAAGACATTGGTCATGGTTGCTGTTCCATAGCGGGAGAGTTCTTCTTTACTGAGCATGCCATTGTGATCCTTATCAAGATTCAAATACTGGCCTTGGGAAGAAAGATAATAAAAAGATACTCAAGACCAAAATAAAATTCTAATTAAAGGAGAAAAGAATACACACTAACAAAGTTCCTTTATTGGAGAATATTCTGATTTTCAACTAATTATGTTACAGTTAGGGTAATGCCCTAGCACCAACTATCCTAATAATGTCTATCAGAATAGCCATAAAATCAGAACCAGAGGGGAAAAAACCCAGGGTTCTTTTACTTATATCATTATTTGTTGTCAGTTTGCAATCCTTTTAGAACTTTCTTGGGTTTCTAAATTAGATGGAAGTAGGGATCAACAAAAAGCATTGAAAAGCTGGTACTTGAAAGCAGAAGTCAAGGGTGCCAAAACAAGTCAGAAGATCACCCAACAGAATAATGTAACAGATTAATGAAAGTCAAGAAAAAAATGAACCAGATCCTAGAACACCTCCCTCTTGTGGACCACGAGCGCAGCATTTTATCACAATGAAAACCACAGTTGATGTTCATAGTGATGCTCTTGAGTCAAGAAAAAAGGACAAAATTATGTTTTGTATGTTCTGTTAAAGACTTAAGAAATAAAAAGAGTTACAAAAATTTAAAACATTGGTATTTAGAGAAGTAAACTTTAGAGATACAGGAATACCAGCTCTTAAATTAATTAGAATACTCTCATTTTAAATTATCCTATGAATAAAACTGTCTTTTGAATGCCAATTAACTTGAGGAACATAAAATTCAAATTTTAGCATTATGATAGGAACATACCATAAACCCTTAGGGCAGAAGGAGCAGAAAACCAATTTGTTTCTTGACTCTCCTTTGATAGTTCTTCATCCCTTAACTAAATGAACAAACATAATTAGAAAGTAGCAAGTGTCAAGTGATATAATTAAATAGTTTAAAAGCATTTACCTCTAATAAATCATCTAGGAAGCTGCATGCTAAGATATCTTGAATTTTTATCTTCCCTTTAAAGAACAAAAAAACAAAAAGAAAAACAATCACAATTGATAAATTGACAGTTTTAAAGCTTTGTAGCTCTTATGTTCCAAAGTCATTATTACACATTGCTATGAAGAGGGAACCATGCAAAGAAACATTTAATAAAATCGCACTTATATGTCTACATATATTATCTCCAACTATACAAATCTAACTGGTAAATTCTTTCCAAAATTACACTGATAGCAGATTCCAAAGAAAAGCTATGTTAAGTATTTTGTGGATATGTGTAAGATATTGCTGGCAACCTAATTAAGAAGACTGTCCCCGTTTTTCTTTGGAAGGTTCTGGAATAGGCAATATAGAGGCATTGTTAAGAGCAGATAGATGGGATCTTGAATGCGTTCTAGATAGGTAATCTATGTCTCAAGTTACCTTACACATTTAAAACACCTTCCTTATGAAGTTATGAGAAAGAAATGAAAGAATCTGTAAAATGTTTTGCTCTCTGATTACTACATAATAAAATCAAAACTGTTAGCTATTATTATTTTGTAAATTTCAAAGGGAAAGATGTGTAAATGTCTACAGTGGAGGCACTGAAAAAAGACTGTGAGCTACTATCTACTGTCATGGTTTCACCGCCGAATTTTCCAGGACAGGAGGTGAATGAAGGACTGAGATTCCATCCCTCTGCTCCAGTGATAAGTATTTAAATCTAGCAGGTTAGATTAGTGTACTGTTAATGAGGCCAAATTTATAACCTGACTTTTAGGATAGTTACCTTGAGAAAGAGAAAAGTACATTATGGCTGAAAGGTTCTCCTACTTCCAATTCATGTTCATTATCAAAAAGAACAATTCTCCATTATAATTACATATCAGAGATAGCAAATCATATTGGAATAACTGGCTTCTTAGAACAGAAGGACCACAGATTCCTCAGTTTGTACCTCATTTTAGAGACGAAGAAACTGTAAATGGTTAGGTAACATGATCATTGTCACACAGCTGTTCACAGTGAGTGTAAATAAATCTTAAAAGAGCTTCATGTATTAAATGGCAATCACATTTTAGGAAAATAATTGACATTTTCAAGATTTTTCCTTTAGCTACTGAGAGAAGTAATAATAAGCTTATAACATCTAAGATAAGATTTTCCTTTACCTGTTCTTAGAGGGTCTAAAAAGAAGAAAAACTTCCTAACGGCTGTACAAACATAGAAGGAGTAAAAAGATTTTTCCAGCCCATCTAATTGTGGCAAAGTAGGGATAAGTTCCAATATGTAGTTTTCTAAATCCTGAAACAACAAAGCAAAATAAAACTTTAAAGTGTTAAACATTATATCTTGTTTCTTCATTAGATACTAGAATATAATTTCAGTCCTAAAAATTATTCAGCATGAGTTTATTCAATGATGAAATAAACTCATTAACTATGTTAGTGGTGAAACCATATTAAAATTTGTTTTTATTAATTTAGGTTTTTTTAATGCTTCAGTATATTTTAAAATAGGTAGTATATGAGATAGGTTAATACTTACAGATTCCCGAAGGTACCCTTGTCCAGCAACATCATATAAACTGAGTCCTATTCTTGTTTGGTGAAGCCAAACTGTCAATAAATGAGAAAATGAAATGTACTTAAGATCTGTCCCTTATTATATGGACAAAAGGAGATGAAGAACCAGATTAAAGGGATAAACAATCCAAAAATTCTTTACATATATTTCTTTTCACACTTATTAAGTGTAATTAGTGGCAGATTTCAACATCTTCTACCATGTCTAGAGCAACAATAAAATTGATGCCCTTGAGGATACTGTTCTTTACCTATTAAACTTGGTATTCTTTCAAACAAGGATGCTGAGTGTAATATTATACCTTCATTTAAGCAGCTTTTATTCTACTGAGATTAATTACAATAACCAAATATCAGTTAAAGACGGAACACATAGGACTTCAAAGATCATTATGGGACTTATAGGAATCATAACAACTTCAAGTTGCTTAATCAAAACTCTTGAATCTGGTGCTTTCGTTGTGACTTTGAAACTATCTTCTCAGGCAATTCAACCTGTAATATACTTATATACAATAGTTATACCTGTAATATATATTGGTGAAATAAAATTATCAGGAATTAAAATTATTTCAAGTCACCATACATTAAAACACTTGGTTCAGCTTTTTTCTTAACTTATTTTTTTAATGAAGTAATTTTCCCTTACATCCTCGTTAATTTTTGATAGTATAGGATTACTCTCCTCAGCTGTGATCACCATAGTTCTCCCATCACCAAAGCCACGGTCCATCACGATAATTCCCATGTGCTCCACCCCCTTATCCTGTTTTCACCCCTCCTACTCTCCCTCCTGCCTTAGATCTATGGTCAGCTTTCAACTTATCTTTGACCCTTTGTTTGGTTTCTCTATATACCACATTAAGTGAATTGGGGGGGTCAGCTTTTGACAGCTAGTTATCTACTATCTTTAGAATACATGAGGTTTTATCTTGTTTTTAACTTTTTAATTATTTTTTGTAATAATAAAGTCAAATTTATGGTAGAAAAATCTTAGACCTATGAAGTTACACAAGAGAATCAAAATAACAGAAAAACAAACCTTAGTCAAAAGGTAACATATTCTGCTTTTCAAACTTACCAAAAGACAGTTGTTTCACATGGAAGGTATACAATAAAAACATAGACTAAAAACCTACTTGGTTCTCAGAAAGGAGTAGTTCAAGCACACGGAAAATGAAATCACCTTTTCTCATGACATAATTAAAGAACTGCATGATGGAAATTCTTCCATAAGAATCTGTATGAAGGAGTTTGGCAAAAACTTTTGCTGTGAAAAATTGCCTAAGAAAAGAAAATAAAGATTAAAGTGATTCGATAACATAATACAAAAATTATTTCTATATAAATTAGCAAAGAACTGCATAAATTAAACAAATTAAATAAAAAAGTCAAAGTGACAACAAAAGTTGAAAACTTAAAATATTAAGCCACACATCCTTGAATTCTGTTGTCTTAAGAATGAAGGTCTAAGGCCTCCCTGGTGGCGCAAGGGGTTAAGACACAACCTATGAAGCTATCCATAGCCACTGCAGCACAAGTTCGATCCCCAGCCAGGGAGCGACCCACATGGCACAGCAGACCTCTCCTGACTTGCCCGCTGCTCCCTTCAGCAGTGTATTTCAGGCAATCTGCCTATTCTGTTCCCCACTCTGTGTGTGGTGAATCCTCCCATCCCCAGCGCCTCTGGCCTATACCCCAGCTCTTGTATGCATAAATAAATCTTTAAAAAAAAAAAATACTGAAGACTGAAACTGTTGTAAATAAACTATTATCTATTTTAATAACAATATCAATGTACTTTCTCAACTATAAATAATTTTATTAAATTATTGATTTAACACCATTGCCTAAAATTTTCATTACTATTTTATGCAGGACATTTAAAATGCTAACATAACATAGTCATTCATTAATTACTCTTACTTGCACTTTGGTCCAGCTTTTTCACCAACCTTCAAAAAATTTTCATAATTAATCATAGCTTCCTCTCCAATCATAGGTGGTGTCTGATGCTTGTCCAGCAAAAACCATAAGTTCTTAGGAGAGTTGCAGAAATGAAGATGTTATAAATAACAAAACAAAATTTTAAAATGTAGCTAAATGTGTTCTTTCCATTAAAATAACAATGTGATAGCAGAGTTAATATTAAGATGATTCTCATCCCCTAACATCCTCGTAACCTAATAAAAATTACTAGTAACCTAATAAAAATAGCTAGTGTTGAAGAGTACCTACTAAGTTTTAAAGTTTTCACATGCAGTATCTCTTAAATCCAATTAACTATGTGATATTGATATTACTGTCCCTACTTTACAGATAATAATTGAATCATGAGTATTGTTAAGTCCACAGCCCAGGATCACAGAGCAGGACTGGGATTTGAACCCCTATAGTCTGACCTTTTCATAATGGTTCTTATGGAAGCATTCTTTGACCTCATGTTAGAATCACCTAGGGACTTTCAGAACTATTATTCCAGAGCCTGTGCTCTCACCTATTCTGCAGTACAGGTTCCAATAAGGCATCCTGTATATAATATATGACTTAAGGAGTACAAATAAGAAATGGATAACATCCAAAGCAACCTTATACTCCTCTCTTACCTGTAGCTCTTCATTATCTAATAGTTCTCTGCTTTTCCTTTGCAGAAAGACAGCTCTTGATTCCTCTCTTAATTTCTGTAGTAAGACTTCATCTTCAGCTGGCAGCTAAAAATAAGAGTTAAATGATAGACTACTGGGTTAGGTAAAATCTATTTGGCCTCATTAAAAAAAAAACTACTTATGGGGCCTCCCCGGTGGCGCAGCGGTTGAGCGCTGGGTTGCGAAGCTGCCCGCGGCCTCTGCGGCGCCGGTTCGATCCCCGGCTGCTTCCCGGCCACCGGCGGAGGATCCCACATGGCGCGCAGACCTCTCCTGCCGCCCGCTGCTCCCCTCAGCAGTGTACTTCGGTCCTTCTGCCTGCTCTGCTCCCCGCTCTGGCTCTGGTGAATTCTCTCACCCTCCCGCGCTTCCGACTGTACCCAGTGCATGTATAAACAAAACAAACAAACAAACAAAATAAATAAATAAATAAAAATGCCTCTATAAAAAAAATAAAAAAAGATTTAAAAAAAAAAAAATGAACAATGATGTAAAAAAAATTTAAAAAAAAAAACAAAAAAACTACTTATGTAACTGCCTCAAAATTACTATAGTAACTCAATCTTGATTAACTTCAAACCATCATTCATTAGACAAGTTCATTTAACAACAACAAAAAAATACATAGAGAACCCAATGATCAGTAAGGCCATTTCACTACCAGGAAAAGGGGAATTGTCTAGTTCAAGTTTTATTTCCTATTCTTAGAGCAATTTTTCCACTATAACCTCAGACTGACACAGAATTAAATCAGAACAGGCTGAAGATTGACAATCTTAGAATCATTTGAAACTGGACTAATTCATTTCTTGGGGATGGTCAAGTTAGTATTTATTTCAATGGCCTCCAAGGCAGAAGGTCTGCTCACTGGGGTGATTTTCATAAACAGAGCTTTAAAATGACTTATTGCAAATCAACTTCAAACAATTTCCTCTGAGGGTTTACTTCTCTATATCTTTGCCCTATTAGATGTAGCTAACTAATCTGTAATGCCAATTGGGGGTTGTGGTTTCCACCCCGAGTATTCCAACACTAGGATGCCACACCTTCCATCAAAAACAAAAGGGAATGGAGAAGGAAAAAATGTTAGGAGGTAATGCTGGGGCTTGAGGGTGGGACTATGTTGCAGAAGCTAGTCAACCAGCTAATCAGCCAAAGACAGAAGTGGTTACTAAAAAGGACATGGAGCTTTGGTGGTGGCTCTAAACCTGTACCTCTGAATCACATACTGTGCTGTAAACCAATGCTACCAAATGTTACCAAAAGAAACATGTAAGCAAAACATATTGTTTACTTTTCTTTGAGTTTAGAAGTTAACTGATTTAAGAAACATTGAGCTAAAATTCCAAAGTTAACCTTTCTATGTAGTTACACTTTACATACTAAATAGGTCTTATTCTTTTTCAGTAGTCATCAATTTCACCTATAAATAGCTTTTTTAAACACAAACCCAGAAACGACCTCCCTGGTGGCGCAAGGGGTTAAACACCGCACTATGAAGCAGTTTGCAGCCTCTGCAGCATGAGTTCAATCCCCGGCCGGCTAGGAAGCAACCCACATGGTGAAGCAGACCTTTCCTGTCTTGCCTGCTGCTCCCCTCAGCAGTGTATTTCAGTCAGTATGCCTGTTTTGTTCCCCACTCTGTCTCTGGTGAATCCTTTCACCCCCCTGCAGCTCTGGCCTGTACCCCAGCTCTTGTATGCATAAATAAATAAATCTTAAAAAAAAAAAAAAAAAAGACAAACCCAGACAATTATAAACCAGAGACATACTGCAGGGGAGGAGGAGGGAGAGGGATCCGAGGGTGGGAGGGAGGAGCACAGGGGACTGTGGTGATGGTGCACGGGTGCATTGGTGAAGGAAACTCTATGGGGACCACATCTGAGGGGATGGGAGGAAGCAAATATTGTTTAAAAATGAACAATGATGTAAAAAATAAAAAATTAATTAAAAAAAATAAAGACTTAAGTGTTTTTATCTATAACCCTCTTCAAAGACTTCTTTAGTTTGGGCACAAGGAAACACGTACGTGTAACTTAAGTTTTCTATTCTCAAACTGTTTTTCAGTTTAAATTGAGCAAAAATGGTTTATAACTTGTAACATGAATAAAGATGAAGTTAGAAATGCTGAGTCAGTAAACATAAGTTTTGCGAAAGCTTGAGAACATAATCCAATAGAATACTGACTACTAATATCCATAATAAAATTTAGGAAGAAAGAAAAAGGCTACACCTCAAAGAGGGGGGACAAGAAACAATTTTATGTTCTTATAACAATTTATATAAAACCTCAGATTTTATTAGGATTAAAAGTTTGTTATCAACTAGAAATAATAAATACATAACATTAGAATCCTCTATTTATAAAATATAAGATTCTGAGCCATTTTAAAAATTATATTTCATTTGTGGGCTTTCCTGGTGGCCCAGCGATTGAACGCTGGGCTGCCTGCAGCCTCTGCAGCGCCAGTTCGATTCCTGGCCACTGGGCGAGGGTCCCACATGGCGCGACAGACCTCTCCTGCCGCCCGCTGCTCCCCTCAGCAGTGTACTTCATCAGTCTGCCTATTCTATTCCCCGCTCTGGCTCTGGTGAACTCTCTTACCCTCCTGTGCTTCTGACTGTACCCAATGCTTGTCTAAATAAAAATAAATAAATAAATCTTTAAAAAAATAATTAAAAAAATATTATATTTCATTTGTAAATTTGGCAAGACATTTACTTTACCACTTACCCTATAATAAAATCGAGGAATCGTTTTATAGAATTCATTTGTGTTTTTTCCACCTCCTTTCCATTCTGAGTAATATTTGGTAAATAAATCCATTTCTTCATCTTTTAATTCTTGTTCACTTTTTTTTTCTGGTAACAAGACAGATTAAGGGGGAAAGCAGTTTTAATATCAAATAATACTTTTACTATAGTCATCTAGATACTATAATTAAAAGTTACAGTGTCAACATCTGTAACTTTGACATTAATGTTTATATTAGCTTTCTTGAAATATCCAAATCACTACCTTCTCCTCAAACAGCTTTCCCTACATCTCTGACCACTTTTCAACAGCTCCTCCCACTTCTTTTTATCGCTTACTTGTGTCCTCTAGTTATTCCTCTCTTATAGACCTCTGATGTGTTCCTAATTCATTCAGTCAAAAGTATTAATTGAGCACATACTATACGCAAAGTGTTGTAATGGACACTGGGACTAGAGTGTGGGGGAGGGGGGGACAGGTACAGCTTTTGACGTCTTAGAGTCACAGGCTCATAATCGCTCTTCCTCTACCTAAGTGAAATTCTTCCATGTGAAGCTACATCTTACGATGCTATTACACTTCACCCAGCCTGTTGCTGGTATGTAGCCGTCTTATTTAGCCATTCCTCCCCTTATTTGTGGGCCACGGTGACTGGTGCACAGTGTTCTTTACCTCCATGTCCTGCCACCAAGCAAGAACCAATATTATTGTGTGTGATTGAGACCCCCTCACTCAGTTCAATGGCAAGACTACAGCTCTTATCTGCTTCTTTTCTGAAATCTTAAAGTCTAATAATAGTTCAGATAATTGTTTTCTTTTTGGTTATTCAAAACTTCATTGCCATTAATACCTGTAGTTCAGCCTCACTGAGATTTTAAATTCTGTGATCTATTTAAAAAGTTCACTTTCCTCTTCCTGGTCTCACGCCCTCCCCAACATGCTTCTAGTGTTAATCTACATTTTTGTCACATCTGCCTCATTCATTTTAAACTTTGGATCCATCTTATAATCTAATTGTTTACCATGGCTCAATTCTGTTGGAGGCAAATGCAGAGTTCTGCAAATTTGGTCTCACAAATTTATGTTATGATTACTAATTAATAAGCCAGGCTCTCCAAAACACCAGGACAGATTTTATTCGTCCTTTAGTTTCTCTTGCTTACTATTTTTGGTGAACGACTTCTCCAAACCTTCCCTACATTCATTCAGTCCCTTCTGTGTTCACCTTCAACATTCCCTCACAGTTAACCAAAAACTGAATGTACTGGGTATGGATACCCGCAAACATCTGAGGGGAGTGAAAGAACTGGAGATGAGGTGTAAATTTAGGAGGTGTAGGAAATATAAAAAAATTTAATGTCATAAGACTGGATAACTTCACCAAGAAGATGAGCAGGCTGAGAACAGAAACTGACCAAGGATTTAGCCTTGTTGCTCCAGTGTGAAGTTGCTGAGGATGCATCATCGGCAAAGAAGGGACGACTGGTGAAGCAGGAGGAAAACTAAGAGAGTGTGTCCACCAGAAAACAAGAGAAGAAAGTATATTCAGAAGGAGACTGAACTGCTATGTTCCTGGCAGGGACTACTGGCAGTTCAAATAAAATGAGGATTGAAAACTTATTACTAGAATAATATGAAGATCACTGATGATCTTGACAAGCAGGAATTAGAGACTAGTACAGATTTAACCAACAATTACTTTAATAAGTGTTGCTACAAGGAGGGCAGAAAAATGAGGCACAGATAAATGTGGAAGTTAAAGTTTCTTTAAGGTGGGAGAAATACCACCATGTTAATAGACTGAAGGGAATGACAAAGAAAGAAAAAATGATGACTTAGGAGAGAAGGGAGGACTGCAAAGGTACAAGCAAAAAAATGGGCTCTAGCTCAAAGGATGGGAGCTAACACACCAATGAAGGAAACAGCCTTAAATAGGCACTGTACAACATAAAGGATTTACTTATTATTTTGTTTACCATCTCTCCCAACACTAAAGCAAAAATTCTTTTAAGGCCAAGGACTTCAGTCAGTTTAGTTTACTGCGATAGCCTAGAACAGTATATAGCACATAACTGGCATGTAGTGGAGTGGGTTTAAGAGAGTAAAGGTGTGAAGAAAACACAAGTACCTCCAACTTTTTTGAGAAGTATTCCTATAAGGGGTGCAGAGAAATGTAGCAAAAGCTGGAGGGGGATGTCAGATCAAATGATTATTTTAAAGCTGAGAGATATTACAATATATTTGTCATTGTATGGATATGATCCAGAAGAAAACGAACATTTGAAGATGCATGAGAGCATAAGGCCAGAGTGAAGTCAGTAAATAAAAGAAGGTCGAGGGGATCTAGTGGTGGGGAGAAGGACTGTCTCAAATAGAAGCACAGGCAGTTCATTATCTTAACAGTGAAGTAAGTTATAGAGTATTTCTAGAGCGGCTTCTAGAAATGGTAAATGGGAAGTATCAGACAGGATTCTTCTCTGACTGCTTCTACTTTCTCAAATATATGTACAATCATCAGTTGAAGGCAAGGAAGAGGTAGGACATATTGGAAAAGTGAAGGTTTGGGGAGATGAGAATTGCTTTTGACATAAGGGCGTGGATGTCTAGGAAAACAGAAGAAATGTAAGCAAATGACTGAAAAACACCTACTTTAGTGAATGTGAATTAAAAGTGAGACAACTCATCAACATTTCGTTTTTTCCAGCTACTCGCAGCTGTTCTTTGAGTGCAGGTGTAGAACAGCAAAGATTTAACCCGGTTGGTTAACAAGCAAGTGTGAAGGGGGTTAAGGGAAAAGGAAAAATTCAACATGAAATCTAAAGAAGATGAGGTAAGTGACAAGTGTTCCAGTAACAAGGCGGTAAAATCAATGGATCATAGGCTTTGGTAGGGTTGAACAGTTATGGGGTCCGGGGTTCTCAATTATTCCTCACAAATCTAGGTCAAGACTAAGGAAATGAGTTACTAAGTGGACATTCACTGACACAAATCTCTTCCCAGGGGAGTGTGGGTCAAAACTCTCTGGATCCTTAAACCACATTTCACCGTGCCTCCTTTGTCAAGAGACTTCACAGAAGCGGGCACGGCGGCTCCTCATTCTCCCCCGACCTCTAGGCGTTTGGGGCCGGGCTATCTGGGGGCGGCCCCTCCCAAACTCACTGTTTGGACCGGTGTTGGGCGTCGCTAACCGCCGGCGAAGAACTTCTTTCCAGTCCATGGTTGACTCTCAGACTGCAGCTCCAGCATTTGCCGCGTACTAGCCGTTCCACCCCCTACGAGCACAGACGTCAAATGCGGCCCAGCCCCGTAAAGGTCAGCGCGGCTGCCCAACTGCCATCTTGGACACGGGCGGAAGTTGATTAAAGAGCACTACGATGACGGTCGCCACTGCAGAGAATGCGGCGACCTCACTAACGGCGCGGAAAGCAGATGCGAAAGGGATGGAAGGTGATCTTCCGTAAGGAAACGTCCCCGCTAAACCAAGACCTAGTTTAAAGAGCGGGATGAGGAAGCCCGCGCTTTTATTTCTTCATCTTGGGCCTTTGGCGCGTGTACACCACGTGACTAGGGGGACCACGGGCGCTTCCGGCTTGAGGGAGGGGCTTGCTTTCTTAAAATTTATTTTCACGATTCATGTGGGTATCTGAAGGCCCGAAAGGCCCCGTGAGTAGGAGATGCTTTTAGGAGCTGCCTCTGTCCGCCTTGTGCTTCTAAAAGCTCGGCAACCCGTTTTTCTCGGGGCCAGATGCCACACGACGCGTGCGTCGGGCTCAGCCACGCCCCCGGGGCCTGGGCCGTCGCGGTGCATTGTGGGCCCCGTAGTCCCGCCGCGTTTAGGGTCGCGTTGAGCGTGAGCGCTGCGGAGAGCTGTTGAATGAAGTGGCGCTCGTTTGTCAGGCATTTGTGAGAAGTAGGTGGTGCCCTTTCTGGACTTCCCTTACCTGAGTTGGTTCGGCTAGCACCTCTCCTCTGGCTCCCCCCATCTCCTTCACCTTACGAGTTTGACTTAGAGTTGTGCAGGGCCGGGGCCTCTAAACTTTGGCTGTCGCCCCTGCCCTTGCTGTTGGTGGGTCTGGGTTCGGGGCTCCCTCTCGCTGTTTTCGACTTTATGCCCTTCTTCAGCAAGGCTCCCATGGAGTCCTGCGCCCTTTCGGGACAGTCGTGATCCACGTGAGTCGAACTAGACGACCCCCTTTGTGCTTTTTTTCCTCAGGTTCCGGGACTGGAATATAAGAGGCTCCAGAGGGTTCCTGCGTTGCCCCTCGGTTCTAAGATTGCGACCGAAATTGGATATCCCTGTCTTTGTTTAATGGAGGAACTCACCTTAATTAGTTGCTATTAAGTAGCTCCAAAAGCAGAATCTTGATTTATCTGTGAGAAATTGAAAATCACATTTTAAAAAGTTGCCCTTGGATTTTTCTGCCCCCTTCCCAGCCCAGTCCCTTATGCCGCAGACTTTTTGAACATCTCTCGCTGTTTGGTGCTGATCTCACTTCATAATGACTTTCTGTTTCATTGGTATTCGAAGCTTTCCTAAGCTTTGGAAGAGCAGCCCATATCTTGGCAGAGGCACAGGACAATCCTATTTTTCTCTCTTTCTCAAAGACTGTTATGCCTTCAGGAACCAACACAAGTGGTTTTCTCTTAAAGCATCATCTCCACAAAATACCAAAGCAATGAATCTGTTGATTTCCAAGACCAACTATCTCAGGAAAGGAGATGAGCGCAACGATGTGCAAGTTTCTTCTGATTTGCCTCATTTTTTTGCAGCTGGAGCAGCTAAAAAGAGATCACAGATGAATCCTCAGAATAAAGATCATGCCTTGCCACCTGTGAGGAACACTATTCAACTCCCCACAAAACCCTTGAATTCTGAGGAGTGGGATAAACTTAAGGAAGAATTCAAAGGAAAGGCTAATTTTGAAAATTGGATCATTTCACAAATGATTCGCTCCCATAGTTCTTTAGATGTGGCCAAATCTCTGCTGGCCTGGGTAGCTTCAAAAAACGATGGTATTGTAGGCTATGACATGCTGGTCAAGTATTTGTACCTCTGTGTCTTTCACAAGCAGACGTCGGAAGTTATTGACGTCTATGAAATCATGAAAGCGAGATACAAGTGTGTAGAATCTGGAGGGAATACCCTTCTCATCCGGGGACTAATGCATTCAGACAGATGGAGAGAGGCCTTGCTGCTGTTAGAGGACATGAAAAAAGTCATGATCCCTTCAAAAGCCAACTATAATGACTGTATTGAGGGAGCCCTGCTTCATAAAGATATAGACTTAGCTTGGAATTTGTATCAGGAATTGTTAGGTCATGGTCTTAATCCTATGCTGGAAACCTTAAAAGCCTTCTTTGACTTTGGAAAAGACATTAAAGATGATCAGTATTCAAACAAACTATTCAACATTCTTTTCTACCTAAGAGATAATCAGCTATATCCTGGGGAGTCATTTGCACACAGTATAAAAACATGGTTTGAGAGGTAATTTTGATTTTACTTTATATGTATGTTTTTATTTTAATCTTTTTTTTAAAAAAGATTTATTTATTTATTTATACAAGCACTGGGTACAGTCAGAAGCGTGGGAGGGTGAGAGAATTCACCAAGCCAGAGCAGGGAGCAGAGCAGGCAGAAGGACTGAAGTACACTGCTGAGGGGAGCAGCGGGCGGCAGGAGAGGTCTGTGTGCCATGTGGGACTCTACTCTGGTGGCCGGGGAGCAGCCGGGGATCGAACCAGTGCTGCAGAGGCTGCGGGCAGCTTTGCAACCCAGTGTTCAACCGCTGTGCCACCGGGGAGACCCTAAGATGGTAATTTAGAGAAGAGAAATTAACTCTGGACAGAAACAATCTCTGGCAACCTTATGGAGAACTTTAGGATTGAGTTTGATTCAGAGGTAATAACTACTGTTAGCTGCTTTCTGTATAGGTTTTCTGAAGGTAGATTTAGACTTGATGTGTGTTGGATGATCAGAGGAAAACCGAAAGGAAAAAGAAAATCCAAAGTAAGATAGCATTAGCTCCTTAGCCCCATAACAGTATAGCAACCACTCTTCTAATTAAGGCATTCTAGGGAAGTATGTCTTGCTTAGAGAATTTCTAAATACAGTGAATATCTTTAGGCTCAGTAAGAATCTGAACTAATGATTTGTTTCTACAATCTTTTTTGTAGTATTCCTGGAGAAAAATGGAAAGGACAATTTACCACAATCCAAGAAAGGTAAGGCCAATATTTTAATTTCAACTTGTTTGATTCAGCTGTAGTAGAGGCTACCACTTATAAAAAAAAAAATTAGAACACCTTAGAGATAGGATAATTAAAAGTTAGTGTACCTGGGCCTCCCCTGGTGGCGCAGGCGGTTGAGCACAGCAGTGTGAAGCTGTCCGCAGCCTCTGTAGCACCGGTTCTATCCCGGCTGGCTGGCCGGTAAGGGTCCCACATGGCGCGGCAGACCTCTCCTGTCTCGCCCACTTCCTTCAGCAGTGTATTTCGTCAGTCTGCCTGTTCTGTTCCCTGCTCTGTTTCTGGTGAATCCTCTCACCCTCCCGCCCATCTTGCCTGTACTCTGGTTCTTGTATAAATAAATAAATAACTCTTAAAAAAAAAAAAAAGTTAGTGTACCCAAGGAAAAAAGCCATGTTTGTGTATGAAGAACTTGTAGTGCTCATTGTATTCCTATAGGTGCTGTAACTGCTCTGTAAAGTCTTAGACATATTTCCCCCTAGAGATTTGGGGCCCATCTGTTTTAGGAATGACTTTTAAAACTGTCAGTTTTACAAAAAGTCAGATGCATATGTTGATCACAAAGGTTACAGTATTCTTTTTAAATTGCCTTTCAATCTCCTCATGTCCTAGGATTATTTGTTTTAGAAAAAGCTTTTTTTTCCTCAGGGTATTATTTAACACAAACAATTGTAATTATAGTGGTCAATGTTTGGGCTGTGGAAAAACTGTAGAGTCTATTCACCTGAGTCCAGAAGAGTATGCCTTTCTCAAGGGAAAAATCTTGAGTGATGTGATAGATGGAGGTGACCAGTACAAAAAGACTACACCTCAGGTGAGTCTGGAATAGCTTTTATCGTACGTTTTGGTTGCTTGTCTAGAGGAGGGGTGGGCAATTTTTTTCTGCAAAAGGCTAGATTGTAAATATTTTCAGCTTTATGGTCCGTATGTCTCTGTTGCAAGTATTCTACTCTGCTATTGTAGTGAAAATAGCCACACACAATACATAATTGAATAGACTTGGCTATGTTCCAGTGAAACTGGATTCATTAAATATGTGGTGGGCTGGATTGGGCTGCTGCCTGTAGTTGCCAACCTTTAGGAGAGATTGCTTTAGAACTTCAGAAAGTAAGTGGGTTAGACTACCTCCCATATATTAGAATCAGTCCTATTAGAGTTCATCTGGGCATAAGCACACTTAAAACAAAAAAGATAGATGCTTTTTTTTTTTTTTTTTTTTTTAATAGAGGCATGTTTTTATTCATTTATTATTTATTTGTTTGTTTGTTTTTGTTTATACATGCACTGGGTACAGTCAGAAGCACGGGAGGGTGAGAGAATTCACCAGAGCCAGAGCAGGGAGCAGAGCAGGCAGAAGGACCAAAGTACACTGCTGAGGGGAGCAGCGGGAGGCAGGAGAGGTCTGCGCGCCACGTGGGACCCTCCTCTGGTGGCCGGGGAGCAGCCGGGGATCGAACCGGCGCCGCAGAGGCCGCGGGCAGCTTCGCAACCCAGCGCTCAACCGCTGCGCCACCGGGGAGGCCCGATAGATGCTTTTTTAAGTGATTCTAGAAAACTGCAATAAATTTCCATGAAAACATTATAGTTTCTTACAACTTCTCTAGTCAAGAGAATTTAAGGTAACTTGGAAAAATTGTTTCCAAGGTTTCTTAATATTGAATTTGATTCTCTAAATCATTAGTAATAGCTTTATTTTGCAAATCTTCAGTACTTTATGCTGATTCATTAAGTGTAAGCTGAAGAGGAAAATGCTTTTTTTAAAATTTTATATATTTTTTACATCATTTTTCATTTTTCCACAATGTATGCATTTTCACCTTGGTTATAGTGCCATACAATTCCTACCACCCTTGTTTTGATCCAATTCCCTTCTCCCCCCGTAGTGTATCTCTGGTTTATAGTTGCTTGTTGACTTTGATTTTTACTTTACTATAATTAGTATTTTTCCTCGCCCCTTATTTAGATTTTCTAAATTTCCTGCTACGAGTGAGACCATCCGGTATTTTTCTTTTTCTTTCTGGCTTATTTCACTGAGCATGATCGCTTCTAACTCCATCCATGTTGCTGCAAATTGCATGAGTTTATCTTTTTTGAATGCTGAGTAATATTCCATGGTGTATATGTACCACATCTTCTTGATCCAGTCATCTATTTTTGGGCATTTGGGTTGATTCCATAGCTTAGCTATTGTAAATAGTGCTGCAATAAACATAGCGGTTGCAGGTACCCTTTTGAATTAATGTTTCTGTGTCCTTTGGGTAAATACCTGGGAGTGCAATTGCTGGACCATATGGAAGCTCCATCTCTAGTCGATTGAGGAATCTCCACACTGCTTTCCATGGTGGTTGAACCAGTTTGCACTCCCACCAGCGGTACAGGAGAGTTGTTTTTCTCCACATCCTTGCCAACATTTGTTGTTGCTAGTTTTTTTAATATGTGCCATTTTTTAATATTACACCAGTGAGAACTGGTGTAGAATGGTATCTCATTGTAGTTTTGATTTGCATTTCCCTGGTTACAAGTGATGTAATTTTTTCATTTTTTCATATACCTGTTGGCCATTTGCATTTCTTCTTTGAAGAAGTTTCTTTTTAGCTCTTCTGCCCATTTTTTGACTGGGTTATTTACTTTGTTTTTGTTGAGTCTTGTCAGCTCTTTGTAGATTTTTATGATCAGTCCTTTATCATTAGTGTTGTGTGCAAAAATTTTCTCCCAGTTGGTGGGGTGTCTGTTTGTTTTGGTTACTGTCTCTTTTGCTATACAGAAGCTCTTTAATTTGATGTAGTCCCAGCTGTTTATCTTTTCCTTCATTATCACTGCTTTGGGTGGTATGTCTTTAAAGATGTTACTGAGGTGTATGTCATATAGTGTTTCACCTATATTTTCTTCCATATATTTTATGGTTTCAGGTCTTACGTCTAGTTCTTTAATCTATTTTGAATTGGTTTTTGTGCATGGTGTGAGGCAGTAGTCAAGCTTCATTCTTTTGCATGTAGTGACCCAGTTTTCCCAGCACCCATTTATTGAGCAAACTTTATTTGCTCCATTGCATATTCTTTGCTCCTTTGTCAAAGATCAGTTGACTGTAAATATGTGGGCTTATTTCTGGATTTTCTATTTGGTTCCATTGGTCCGTGAGTCTGTTCTTGTTCCAATACCATGAAGTTTTGATTATTATGACTTTGTAGTATAGTTTGAAGTCTGGGAGTGTGATACCTCCATTCCCTTCCTTTTCTTTTTTTTTTTCCAGAAGAGCTTTGGCTATTTGGGGTTTTTGGTGGCTCCATATGAATTTCATCAATATTTGTTCTATTTTTTTGAAGAATGTCTTTGAAATTTTTATTGGAAATAGCATTGAATCTGTAAATTGCTTTTGGTAGGATGGCCATTGTGATAATGTTAATTCTTCCATCCATGAGCAGAGGATGTCTTTCCATTTCTTTGTGTCTTCTTCTACTTCTTTTAACAGTGTTTTATAGTTTTCTTTGTATAGGTCCTTTGCCTCTTTTGTTAGGTTTATTCCCAAGTATTTGATATTTTTTTTTTTTTGTTTCAATAATAAAAGGAATGGTTTTCTTGATTTCTTCTTCTTCAGATTTATTGTTTGTGTATAGGAAGGCTACTGGTTTATGTGTGTTGGTTTTTGTATGCTGCCACTTTACTAAACTGATTAATTTGATTAGTTTTTCTGTGGAGTTTTTGGGGTTCTCTATGTATATTATCATATCATCTGCAAATAGTGATTGTTTTACTTCTTCCTTCCCTATTTGGATTCCTGTATGTCTTTCTCTTGTCTTATTGCTCTGGCTAGGACTTCCAGTATTATATTGAAAAGCAGTGGTGAGAGTGGACATCCTTGTCTTGTTCCAGATCTTAATGGAAATGCTTTCAACTTTTCACCATTGAAAATGATATTGGCTATGGGTTTGTCATATATGACCTTTATGAAGTTGAGGTATGTTCCTTGTATCCTGAGAATTTCAAGGGCCTTTATCATAAATGAGTGTTGTACTTTATCGAAAGCTTTCTCAGCATCTATTGATATTATCATATGGTTTTTATATTTCTTTTTGTTGATGTGTTGGATTACATTGATTGATTTTTGGATGTTGAACCATGCATGTGTCCCTGGAAAAAAATCCTACTTGGTCTTGGTGAATTATCTTATGGATGCATTGTTGGATTCTGTTAGCTAAAATTTTATTGAGGATTTTTGCATCGGTGTTCATTAGAGATATTGGCCTGTAGTTTTCTTTTTTTGTGTTGCCCTTGTTCGGTTTTGGTATTAGTATAATGTTGGCTTCATAGAACGTGTTTGGTATTATCTAATCCTTCTCATTTTTTGAAAGAGTTTGTGAAGGATAAGCACTAGTTCATTTCTGAATGTTTGGTAGAATTCATTTGTAAATCCATCTGGTCCTGGACTTTTGTTTTTGGGGGAGGGTTTTGATTACCATTTCAATTTCACTGCTTGTAATTGGGCTGTATAGGTGTTCTATTTCTTCTTTATCTAGCTTTGGGTGATTGTAAAGTTGTAGGAATTTGTCCATCTCTTCTAGATTGTTGAACTTGTTTGCATATAACTGTTCATAGTAATTACTGATTATTCTTTTGATTTCTGCTGTGTCTGTTGTGATTTCTCCTCTTTCATTTGTGATCCTATTTATTTGTGCTTTCTCCTGTTTAGGAAAAATGCTTTTGCATTGGGGAAAGCCTACCCATCATCTCATTTAACCCTTACAGTCTCTTAAATAGGTACTATTTGTTACTGTAGTAAAATCTCTCTAGTAAAATCTAGGTCTAACTATCCTAAATCTGTGCTATTACTCTCTACTTAACCTCTCATGGAACAGAAAGTCACACTGGCAGTTCATAGTTCCACATATTCATGACAGCCAATTATTTGTATCATTAATGCCTTAGGAATATCTGCCAACTAAATTAAGATTTTAACTGATATATTTTCTTTTATTTCAGCTGAAGTAGGTGTTAGGATAAATGCATAGTTGTATGAATCACACTGCTGTTCCACTTACCATTTCTATTTGGGGGTAATGAATATTCGTCCCACTTTCCAACTTCTTCTTTTATAAAATTTCAACCTTCAGAAAAACTGTAAACAGCACAGTGGGCACCTACATACTCTTCATCTAGAGCAACCAATTGTTAATATTATGCCACATTGATTTTCCTCTCTGTGTATGTATTTTTATGAATCTATAAAAAGTAAATTATAGACATTATGACATATAACCTTAAAAATTTCAGTATGTATTTACTAATAAAAAAGTTCTATGTAATTAAGATTATTTTCCATCTTTACCCTTATCACATTTAAGAAAACTAACATTAATTCAGTGTTATCTAATAAAAAGTACACTTTCAGTTTTCCTAGCTTTCCTCCACCAAAGTGTAGTATATAACTTTACCCTCCTCTAATCCAGGATTCAATCAAACTTCATTTACTGCCTTTGGTTGGTATGTGTCTGAATCTAGAACAATCTCCCCTGACTTCTTTTATTTTTATGATGTTGGGGTTTTTTGAAAAGCCTGACTGGTTTTGTTTTATACTGGACTTCGCAAACTTTGTGCCTACAAGTTATGTGAATTTCTGGTTAAAATGAAAACTTTGATTAAGTTATATGGAGTGGAGTCTGAGTTTCTGTATTTTGAATAAGCTCTTAGGCAATGTGATTCTGGTTTTTGGACCAATTTGAGTATCAAGACTGTGGGCTCTCTAAGTGACTTACTGTGCTCATGCTCACTTCATTAGATTGGTAAAATGTTATTGGATATTCAGTGTAGGTGATACTG